TTCTTTTTTTCCAAGAACCAAGTCCAAACAGATTAATTCATAAAAATGTACCCCAAAAATTGCTTTAGTGTCATGATGGTACTTTTGAAACTAATCTTAATTCTTTGATGAGGAGCACAGAGGTACAAGCCCAATATATTTCTAGTTTGTTGGAAATCTCCAGCACAATCTCCATCAGAAATGTGCAAATGAAAGAACTAAAGAAGCTGTCATACCATAACGCTTTATTAAAAAATTTAAAACACGCTGGTGTAAGTTGTATAAGTTAGGTGTATGTTTTTGAATTAATTACCAGTACGTTGATACAAGACGGACAGACAATAATTTTGTGCATGAATAAAATTTCCAGCATATAAGTAAGGAGTAAGTTACAGGTATGCGACAGGTAAGTGATCTACACGTTACATGTAAGTTACTCGTAAGTTGGAAGCCAGCTGGGCAATTGTGAAGCATATGTACCTTATTTCTAGCATATGAGCAACTTATATCTAACATATCTATAGGTTATATCAGACATTTCCACAACATATAACATATAACTCATTTAGGAAAAGGGGTCAAAATAATTTGGATATTAAAGCTTAATTGTTACTTATGATATTTCCATAGACTTTTGGCAATGTTCAGTATGTATACGTCCAAAGGCTTTCAGTTGTTTTTTTTATACCATCATCAGTGTATGTCAGCTTGTTGGACAAAATTTTCATTCGTCAACATAAGTTCTGTAAATGTTATAGTGTGACAGGGTCTTAAAGCAGCAGCCACTGTGTAAGTGTGTTTGTGTATGTGTTTGGGTGTGGTTTGATTTTTTCTGTTCAGGGACTTTTCATCAAAGCTTGAAGTTATTTTATCTGTTTAACTGTGTTGCTGCTGTGAAAGTATCAGAGTTTAAAGCCTAACGTTTGCCGTAAGTTGAGGAATTCTTCTTATGTTTTAGAAATGTAACTGCTGTGAAACTATCTGAGTTGGTCTGATTTTATCACGTGACTTGTCACAATCTGGAGCTAAAGCTGCCGTCTGACCAGCTGCAACAGTTCGGCAGCTGAGGAGAAGTGACACATGTCGGCAGAGTTAATTTACCTCATCTAACCCGAACCTCTGACCCCACTGGAAACACAACAAACCGGGGCTGAAAGAAACAGTTAAGGTTCGGGATAATTAAGTTCCAGAGGAAAAGTGGTTTGGGGTAGATGAAACACAGTCAAAGATCTCACATCATTAACTTTTCACTATCAGAACCTGTATGAGGGTTTATTAGGCTGAGGCTTCCTGTTTAATTAGTCGAAGATTCAATATGACCACAAATAACCACAGGAACAATAAAAGCTCAGCCACATGCTTCCTGTGTTTTAGTATGGAGGACATTTTTCTCTGAAAAGATGTTCAGATGGAGCTTCTCGATGTCTTTGTTCAATTAGTCATAAGTAAAACAGTGTCAAATGAGATGACCTTTCCTAAAGTCGAAGTTGCTCCACAAAAGCCTGTCCCGAAGCCACCGTTGGGTTGCCTTTGTGTAATAGATCATGTTACGTCTTTGGGGAAGGTTAAAGTAAAAGGGCATTCATTTCCCTATAGATTGCATGGGGAATTGAGGTCTGCTCAGTCAATACAAATCAAATCAGTGCTGGTCAATAGAAATCAAAAGAAAACGGTCAGTTCTCCAGCGACGAGGACCGAAAACCGAGTGATGAATATCAGAAAACAAAGCAGTGACAGAGGCCTGGTGGTGCTCTGTCGAACATCTGTATTTTCTATTTCAGGCCTGCCTTTGTTCCCCCCCCAAAGTGAGTCACACTCAGGCTGTGTGCCATTGTGGCATTTCTTCTCATGGCAGCAGAAGAAATATCTCTATTTGTGTCTTTTAGTTCCAGACTGAAGTAGAAATGTTACCATTTGTGGTTGGAGGGACAGGGTGCATTTGTGCAGATGCTTATGATTTTAAGCCACTTGAGAAGAGTTTGACAAAGTACCAACAATAAGAGAGTATTTGGGTTTCTGTGGGACCTTAACTAAAACACACAGGTCATAAATGTGGGGATGCGGGTGCAATAGTGGGGAACCAATAGCCTTCCTGCATCTGGTTTTCATTGTAAAGAGGATGTGTGTTTTGAATTAAAATTGACACTGATTCCTCGCTCTCTCTCCCACCCCCCTCCCCACCAAAAAAAAAATTGTTCGCAGCTTCACCGCTGAAGATGATTAGATTCAATCCTTTCCTTCTTCTTTCTGGGATAAAAACTGTATCAATAATAAAATGTGTATAAAGCTTTAACATGCTTCGAATCGATTCTCCAGTGTGAGTTTGGAGGAAACACAAAAGCTCTCTGAGAGATGAATTATACAGCAAGTGACATCTCTCTCCACACAGACAGAAGCAGTGTGCTGTGATATTGCATTGTTTCCACCTTGCTGACTTTCTGACATCTTTGTGGGGTTCGGGGCAGACGTGGGGGGGGGGGGGGAGAGTCAGAAACCAGAGAGTCCCCAGTGAGGCGCAAGAGGCGGCATTCTGCTTCACGCTTCACCGCCTGCCTGCCACCGCCCGCTGTTATTATGCTGCCAACACATTTAATTCCAAGAATCTGCGAGGCACATGCAGCAGCCGGCAAACAAAGAAAGACGCGGACAGGGATATATGCACGTACACCCGCCTAACTCGTGTTAATGAAGTGACAGTCGCGAGCTTTGATGCAAAACAGGAGGCAGGTATGCGAGATTACAGCGCACCGAAACCGTAAAGTGCAACATCAGATCAAATCAAGGCCGCTTTGTGGAGAAAACAACAAGACATAAACCCAAAGGGAAGCACTTTAAAGATTAAAGAGTCTGGCTGTGAACTTTTAAGGATCTGCTGAGCCTCTCCTCTTCTGCAGCTCCAGGCTCAATCTGGGTCCACAGGAGGTTTCTGAAGGTCTGACCTCGTCTGGGAGCCAGCAGCTTAGGCTCTCCTTTCCAGGGGCAAGGGAGCCTAATCTTTTCTCAGGGGCCAAAGAGAGCTTAAACCTGGAAAAAGAAGCTGAGGTCTTAACATGAACCCTCTTCTATACCTCTTCTTTTCCCTCACTTGTGTTTGTATTGAGGATTATTCCCTTAGCAGAGCAGAGCAGAGCACCGGAATTAGAATAAATTAAATTCTTATTGGGGGGGKGGGGGGGTCTTCTTTTAAAATGACTTTAATTTCTCAAGGAAAAGGTTGTGATATGTAGTTCATTGCAGCCAATTTACCATGCCTCGTTAGTTTCATTTTATAATTAAAGGTTTAAACTTCCTTGAAGCAATGCAAACCACCCACCACCTTTCAAGACAGACTTTAAAAGTCAGAACTTCTTGTACAGAGAAACGTCAGAGTCCTCACCATTTTGGTCAAACCTAGAAGATAACAAAATTGTGATGTGTTGATGCTTGAATTGTGTGTTGGAGATGACTCTCGGCTAATACCATATCAACATTTAGTTCAATATCTGTAAAACTGACTGAGTAATAGTCGTTTTTCTGCCTGCTTTGGTCCGTTAATTGTAGCAGCCATTTTGAAATGTATTGACACAACTGTAACATACACCCAATTGTTTTTCCTCTTAAAGTTTCTTAAAAATCCATTCAGTAGTTAATGAGATATTTTGGCAACAGATAGACAAACATAGTTATGGGAAAAAGCACAAACATTATCACCTGCCTGGTGTCTTTCAGTGGTGTTCAATAATTAAACTATATTTTTATGAGAATGAAACCTATTCTTATTCACAGATCACTGGTAGGCAATCTGTCTGGAGACGAACGTAACAGAAAACTCTCTGTCTCTGTTTGAACGTCAACTTGACTTTGACAAATTATCAGACGCCTGATGGCTGCAACTCTGACGCAACGGCAGCAGCAGCCACAGAACCGTTTATTGCAATTACACACCTGCACGCAAAGCAGTAGCTGAGCCACGGCACGGCAAATGATCCGTGCACAGCTGAACGGCATTGCTAAATGATTCGGAAAATAGTCCCACTTTACAGTGAAGATACGAGCGATGAAGAGGCAGGGAGTGAGAAGGCAGCAGAAAGAGACAGAAGTAGAAGAAAGTTGTGGGTTCATCGTCGAGTCAGAACAGGATTAATATTGATCTGAAGATGTGTTTTCCATTCCGGTGTTTGTTAATCCCCAGCATAATGCGGGATGGATATGAGTGTGTTGCCACATGTTAAAAGTCTCCTTCACCGCTGTTGATTACTTTTACTTTCATTAACTCAGCAGTATGGCAACAAGCTGCTCTTTAAAAAAAATTTCTTCTCACACTGAACTCACAGCAACAACCAGGGTTAGCTGTCTATTTAAAACGTCAAACGAAATGCTTTATGCTGAGGTTGCAACCAAGAAAGAGATGATTTCTGAAGAGCAGCAGGCTCCGACTTGGGGGTTTGAAAAGAAAACAAAAGGAATGCAGGGTGGGGAGAGAGGCAGTGGGACAGAAAGACGGGATGGGGGTGGGTGAATGATGTCTATGTTAAGCCGCTCTCAGCAGCAGCAAGGGTGCTATATTTTCCCTAATTTCACAACCTTTTAAGTGTAACGTGTTCTCCAGGAGCCGAGTGTGAATGGCACACGGGTGAAATTTTACACCATGGGAAAGATCGTCAGCTGTCGGCTCACTCTGAGCTCCCAGCTCAGGGTAAAGCTCTTCATCTTTTTCCCCTCTCCTGCTCATTCGACTTCTTCTACAAAAAAGGTCTCAGTTTTCCTTTTGAGAAAACACATGTGGACAATACCTACTATGTGAACAAGGACGTTCTGAAGCAGCAGTGTAATCAATGCTCGTTTCAGCCGTTCGTGACGGGACATTATGAGTTATGCAGCCGCACGGCCTCCGTCAGACTCAGATTGAAACTTTAGTATATGTTCTCAAGACAAAAGGCCTTTATTTAACAGCGTTTAACTCCACAATTAAGTCAGCTGTAAAAGGTGCAGGGGGGAAATCTGTTTAACATGCACATGAATGCACACACATGTTCACTCACCTAGACAATTGTGGCCATCGTGAGCCAGGCGGAAGCCATCGTAGCATGTGCACCTGTAATTTCCTGGAATGTTCATACACTCGTGGACGCAACCACCGTTGTAGTCATTTACACACTCATCGATATCTGCAAATAAAACATAAAGAAAACATATCAGCAAACATCATTAAGCAGATTTACTGGAAAAGTTCAAGATAAAATATATACACTGTTTTTTTTTTTATTCATTAGGCATTAGATTATAAATGTGATGCATAATAAATATTAGGCTGCAAAAAGAGGATGTTTGGTTAACATTGAAACACTTAGAGATTTAACAAAAAGCATTTTCAGTAGTTAGTTTGCATTATTACAGGATTCATAATATCCTTTTTTTAAACACAAATCTATTTGTTTGTGGCCAAACCACCAAACAAATCCTAAAAGCTTTAACAATAATCGCCCGTGAATTTTTCCTGCTCATTAAGCATCAAATATCAGAACTGAGGAGTTTTATTTTGTTCCTCGTCTGCAGTGTTTGTTTACTCTGAACTCAAGGTTTTTTACTGACATCTGTATGTTGGTGAGTGAAATCTCTTGGTGTGTGGTGTGTTGTATTTTGCGTGTGGCTGTACACCACACACTGTAGGACCAAACCTCTCTCTATGATTTTTTTATTATTATATTAGAAAATCGTCTGACAATTTTAAAATCTTGCTGTGTGAACCAAGGATTATTAGTTCCATATTCTAAATCCTGGAATTTCGCATTTTTGTGTCAGCAATTTGTCAAATGTTTGATTTAAATTTATTACACTTATATAGAATGTGAGCAAAGTGCATGGTTGATTCAGTCCTCTGCTAAAAATCTATGTAACCACTGTTCCAGTTTCTAATAGTCGTCTAAAATGATTCAGAGAAAGAAAATACTTGTAGGTTCTATCTAAAATTTATTTATTTTATTGTAGAATCTAAAAAAACATAAATCATGCAACTTGGTTTGAGTAAAAGCCCAGAAATAAGAAAAGTAAGAGGAGGGGCACAACAGTTCATCAAAGGGTTAAGGAAAGATGGGAGCAGAAATACATAAAAACTCATAACAACCTTCTAAAACCGATTTTTAAAACATGAAAGTAAATTTCTAAATGCCTTTTTTCCCAGTTCTTATTCTGTTACATCATGTGCACATGTATGTAATTTGTTAAAGTTGAATGAGTCGAGTCAATTAGACAATTCACCTGCTGTTGACGTAACTTGAGTTTATGCCTTCATTTTGTTTATTTTGTTTATAGCCTAATACTGTTTGTTCTCACATTTAAAATACTAGACTGTATCCGTCAACACATGTTCCCCCCACCCCACCCCATCTTTGAATTGTGTTTTTGGCAGAACGTATAAGTGTCAACAGTGATTTGTTCAGTACAAGACAATAAAACTTTCTCGAGCATGACGCTGGCAAAAAGTCAGTGGCAAAATATGCAGCTGTTTATACAAAACATACATTTGGAAAAGACTGAAAGAAATTAGGCTATTAAATTCAAATGTTTTATGTGTCTGTGTAGTCATAAAGGAATCTAATAAATTAGCCCTTCAATATTTACAACACTGACGTATAAACGAAGTGTTAGTTGTTAGGAAATGCGAACATCGATCATTAGATGTTGATCAAATCCAAAGATTTATGAGCTATGGTAAAAAAAAATCTGAAGGAAAAAGACAAATTAATGAAAACAAGGGAGACAGCCTTTGATGGAGTTATACTTTATAATGATTGTTGAAGGGGCCGTAGTGAGGAGACCCAGACAAGGTAGACTGAGAACACAGAGCACTTCCATTCAGCTCCTACTGGTTCATTTATGATGGATAATCCCAGTCGATCAGCTTCTCTTTGAGGCTGTTTCTCTCAGGGTTTAATTGGACTGACAGCGGGGGAGGGGGGGGGGGGGGCCCCAAAATTACAAAAACACTTTCTGCTCTCTGCTCATTCACATCCCACTGATCAGTCAATCCCTCGTTACGCCACAGAATCAACTTCCACTTTGTACTTTCAATTTGCTGAAACTCATGTTCAATAATAGTTGTGTTTTAGATTTATTGCAGTCGTATGCTCAGATCAGACTCAATAATCCACAGTCAAAGAGGAAATACTTATTGTGCTCAAAAATTAAAACTGAAATATCAATGGCTGGTCCAATACCAGTTTGTCTCAAACTGAGTACTTCAGCTTGGGTATTCGCCGATACTGAGCACAGTTACTGAGTACTTACTGATTTAGAACTTAAAAATTACCCAGTGACTTTTAAAATCACTTGTTTTTTATTTAAAACAAGGTGGCTCTCCTTCCACAGGCCTACAGCCCCTCTGAATTGATCTAATCATTTACGCAGCACGATATATACTGTTGTGAAATTTTTAAATGAATAAAAATAATAAATAAGTTCTTCCAACTTGTATAAATTTCTTTAATTTGGAACTGACCAACTTTTTAAATGAAATGTAAACTGCAACACATTCAGTGGTGTATTGATACCAGTACCCCACTATCAGTACTGGTATTAGCATTGGTTCCGAGTATCGGGGCATTTTGTAGAAGTTCAAGTACTTCTTAAAATGCTGGAATCAGGACATCACTAGAACTTGAACTATTACACAATACTAAGCTCAAACCACTTTTTTGTTTACAACCTTTAGCCTTTTTTTTTTACCAACAAACTTTGCAGGTGAACCTTAAAAGGGAATCATTGTTTGCAGAAAATCTTCAAACTGAAAAGTTGGATTTGCTTCTTCCTTAATGGAAAGTAAATGGTAAATGGACTGAACTTATAGAGCGCTTTATCAAGTCCCTCCAGACCCCAAAGCGCTTTACGCTTACAGACATTCACACATTCACTCACACATTCAAACACTGATGATGGTAAGCTACATTGTAGCCACAGCTGCGGGGCACACTGACAGAGGCAGGGCTGCCATGCACCGGCGCCACCGGATCCTCTGACCAACATCAGTAGGCAAGGCGGGTAAAATGTCTTGTAGGGCTGCAACAACGAATCGATAAAAATAGATTATTAAAAGCGTTGGCAACAAATTTCATTATTGATTCATTGTGTTGCGCGATTTATGGTCCCTCGCCATGTCGCGGAGCCGTTTACGTCACCCGCAGAGCGTTGTCAATGATGGCTGACCTAAATAAAGTTTGGGAAGAAAAAAACTCTACCTGTAAAGATCCGCCCTCTCTGAGACTCTCGAATGAAAAGTAGAGACTTCGAACTTTAAACCAGTTTTTAAATTGTGTTTGTTAGGCCAAGTAGATCCAAAGTTATGATAAAAAGTATATGCTACATTTATAAATGACGGACTGATTTGATGCGAGCCGCGTCGCGAGGAGGAAACACATCCCGTGGAGGAAAAACAAACAAACAAACAAACAAAGAACCTCAGTCCACCATTTGTTTCCTCCTCTCAGGCCAAAAATATAAAACCCTCCAGTCTTTCTCTGACCGAGGCTCAAAGTTATTTGATAAGCAGCAAACCAGGTTCAGGACGAAGAAAAAAAAGACGCGAGCAGAACTCCTGGTCTGACTCAGTGGGGGAGCGGGAAGGGATGGGGGGCTGCTTCGGAACCGCTTCTGGGTCATAGAACACCGTTTTAGCCACAGACAGATCCAACAAGAAGGAAGTAAAATGTAAAGAATTAGAGAAAAATCATAAATTCTAAATGAAAATAAATTCTAATTATAATAACAAATTAATAATAGTTTTACATCTAAAAATAATATTTTATTCTTTTTATCTGTTTTCCTTATTCAGCAACCTATTAAATTTCTGTTTTGTTATGTTTTATAGCTATAACCAAGTTGATTAATGAATGAGAAATCCACTTTTTTGGAGGGGGGGCAGTCAGTGTATATGACTGGCAAAATAAATTGTGAAATTATTTATGAATGATGTGCTTCTTTTTTAAATTTAGCCTATTATTTAAAAAATCCATTTTATGAAAAGACCCTCTTGATTCAATAGAAAACTGTTTTTTAGGAAATTTGCTGCTTATCAATTAATCGTTAGTCAATCTATAAGATAAATCAACTTCAGACAACTTCACATTAGTCAATAACTTGCATCCCTAATTTATACAGGAATTAAATTAATTTATTTCTACTTATATCTATTTAATTAATGATTTGGCTGATTAATCGATTAATCAAAAAGATAATTGACAGATTAATCGATTATTAAAATAATCATTAGTCGCAGGCCTATCTTGCCCAAGGACACAACAACTGAGACAGCTGGAACGGGGGGTCGAGCCGGCGACTTTCCGGTTACAGGATGACTCCCCTAACCACTCTGGCTGTGGTGGAGTGGTTAGTCGTCCTGCAGTAGAAGACATTCTTCAATGTCTCTAGAAAGGTCAAATGTTGCTTTGAGTCAGGCATGGGTTGCAGAGTCAAAGAGAGTCATCCCTCATTCTTTCACACATTGTTTTGGCTCTGTGCTACAGACTGTTGCTGTCCTGAACCCAAAGCACATTCTAAGGTCTGGAGCAGACTAGAAATAGGCTCCCCAATAGAGCAGCAGGCCAGTTTCTCCAAACCTGACCAGATTCACTGCTGCTTAAGAAGAAGAGAAAAAAAAGTACATATCCAAAAACTGATTGTGCCACCACCATGCTTCAGCACTGGGGTGTGATTGTGCAGGTGATGCATGATGTCATGATGACTTGTTTACTTTTCACATGTTACACAAACATAAAGATAGATTATTCAGTCCAGGGGTCATTAAATCTCCCATTTTAGATCAGTTTTTTTTTAACAAATTTGTCCTTTTGAGAGTTTGAGACATCACTGAAAGTTTTACTCAAAAATCTCATACTCTTGTTAAAGCTATTTGAGGGTGAAATGTCTCCTTTGGGTCTTTGGGGAGTTTTTGTATCAAGTGGAGAAGCTTAAGTATCTGGATTTCTTGTTTCACGAGTGATGGCAGGATGGAGCGGTAGATAAATTGACAAATGTGAGTTTCATCCTTAGTAATGAGGGCGTTGCTTCGGTCAGTCATGGTGAAGAAGGCGCTGAATCAAAAAGCAAAGCTCTTGATTTACTGGTCTGTCTACACTCCAACCCTCACCTGTGGTCACGAAGTGTGGATCATGACCTAAAGAACAAGATCACAAATCCAAGCAGCCGAAATGAGTTTCCTTCATAGGGTACCGATGCCTGCCTGCCTGCCTGCCTTCTGTATTGTGAAGGCTGACTGCAGTCAGGAGAAAGAACATTCCTAACGAGACACTAATATGGGACAGATGGAAACTGTATGAGTGGAGGAGCCAGGTATCAGATCGGAATTGAAAAAACATGGATCGGTGCATCCTTATTTCTGGGCACGTCCCACTAGTAGGAGGACCCAGAGAAGACACAGGACTCCCTTGAGGGATTATGTATCCTCTCTAAACTGGGAACACCTCGTGGTCCCTCAGGTTGGGGAGAGGGATGTCTGGGTCTCTCTCCTGGTCCTGTTGCCGCCATGACCTGACTAGGGTTTTAGTTCGTAAGCGTTGGAAGATGGAGATGCTTCTGTTAATTTGGGTATTTGGGTCTGCTGTGGTATATGTCATATCTCGCTGGGCTGTAACTGTAGAAGACTAGTTAGCAACTCAAAATTGTAAGAAAGCCGCTTCATTTTTCTCAGAAATCCAAGTGTTTGCGACTAAGCATGTTGTCATGTTTGAGGCAGCCAATTTCAGAAAATTACAGCCTATTTTCGTACGCAAGGCCATTAAAACTGTACTTTGGGTAACGCACATGATTTTCCTGCCCTCGGCCCATTTTCTGCACACCTTGGCAGCTACTTTTAAAGCAAAAAAAATTATTCCAAATAAAGGTTCTTGAAAATCACTTTTCTAGTGTGTTTATGTATTTTGTGGCTATATTTTTCTTACCAAATTAGTGCAACAAAAACCTCAATAATTGTTGTGAAAGGTGATTCTGCAGGCAGCCACACATCTAAGTGTTTTAACATCAGTTACTTCAACAGTTTAGTATGTTTTATCTCATAAATTTCTAAATGTTGCTTTTGGATTTTGTTTACATCAAAGCAACCGACTAAAATAACCTTCACTTCAAAGTAAAGTGAACCTTGCAAGGATTTTTATAATAGACGCATAAAAGCAAATCTTTATGACTTAGAGGCAGGAGACCATGAAAATTGCCATGTAGATGAAAGTATAATGATGCTTTGCAATAAAAATAAATAACAAAGGGATTACAAAATGCCGTTTTTGCAATAATAGTAATAAAAGTGAGATATAACAATCCAGGGGCCTTGAAAAAAGTTTAAAAGAAAATAAATACTTGTTTCAGGCAGTCTGAAAGGCCTGCTCTTGGCTGTGGAAATATCCCCGACAGCTTGGCAGGAACCTGACTGCCGTTTTAGCTGGTATCTTAATTTTCCTCCGAAACATGTGTAGGAAATTTACTGCTTCATTTCTTCTTGTCACAAAGGAGCACTCTGCACCTGGCTTCCCCCCTTTTTCTCCATTTGCAGCTCTCTCCCGTGTCCCTCCTCCCTCTTTGGGGAAAATTGCTAAGCTAATGAGTTATTTCAACTGAGACAGAAGCTCTTATCAAACCTGCCCCTGGCCTTAAGGGCTGACGTCAAGTTAGAAAAACTGCCTCTGAGTGCATCTAAAAGTCCTCCCACGCCCACACAGAGGGAAGCAGGAGTTTGGGCTTCATGCAGCAGGTGAAAATGAGGTTTAAAAAAATCTGAGTTTACCTTCACAATAATTGCCATCTCCACTGTAGCCTGACTTGCAGATACATCTGTATGATTTTGGGGTGTTTTGACAAATGGCATCGATGCTGCAGTTGTCCAGCCCCACCGCACATTCGTCCACATCTAGAAAAAATAGAAAACAGTCAGTAAGTACACAAACATTATTGGTTCTGACTGACCGTTGAGCATTTGATGGATCAACAGTGGGGCTCTGTGAAAAGGCTATGAATAATTAATATTTCACCTGTTGGAAATTGGTCTTTAGATAACTTCAGTTTGGAGAAACACAAGTTTAATCTGGACCTGATTGATGCTGATGGGTAGTCTGAGTGAGGCCAGGAATAAAATAAATTACTGCCACATTAAAACAATACGAGTCTTGAAAAATTCATTGTTTTCCCATGAAAGCAATCTTCTAAACCTTCACATTGTTATCAGTTTTAAATTACACAGTTACACAGAATGATGTGGTTATTTGCAGTCATAAACAGATGCAGCAGCAACTAGCTGCAGCACTTCCACTCCAACGTCCAGCAAGAATATCATAGTTTCGCTAAAACAACTGTGCAATGCAAAACTGACGTCGGAATTACTATGAACCTTTTAAGGCTTTGTTGGAATAGCCTTGGACACAATGCTGTTTCTATATTTCTCCAAACTGAGGTCGTTCAAAAGCTTTACAACAGGTGTTATTTATTCAGTTACTTTCCATTAGAAACCCTTTCAAAAGTCTGAATTATCACCTAAAACTGCTATTGTTAAATAATAAACATCACAAAATTAAAATGCAATGAATTTTAGTTACCAAGTTTATTTAAAGACACAAAAGAGCGCATACAGCTGACACTGAAGCACTTGATAATATTAAAGAAATTGAAGAGCTGTTGAAATCAAACATCTCCTTGAAAGATCATTTGATGCTCAGACTGTACGTAAAATCTAATCTGTTCTAAAAGACAAGATCACTGAGGAAGAACCTTTAACCGTAGAACCACTGAAGACCACGTTCAAAAAGAGTCCACCTCTTCCATCAAACAAGTCAATACATTTTCCCAAGTTTTATCGTGATGTCGATAATCACGCTCAGTAGTTGGTTGCATGGACAAGTTTTTCAGTTGTTACCAACACAAAACAACCCACTTTGTGTTTCTTACTAATGTGGCTTTTTAAAAAATGTACAGATAAAGTAAACCAATTTGAAAATATGTAGGAAGATGCTTTCTTTATATTTATATTTCTTATGACAAAAAAAAAGGAAATCAAATTTCCCAAACGTTCAACTTGCCCTTACATGTTTTAAACATTTGTGAATCAATTTGTACATGTGAAGTAAGGTTGGGCATAATCGTATCATGTGCAACTAATCGTCAGAAAAACATTAATCGGTTATTTTTTTGGCACTTGACGATTAAAACGATTGATGCCACCAAGCAGACTGACTGGGGATTTCTCCAGGCAGACCACTTGGTGCTCCTCTACGCTTCAAAAATGACAAACCTTAAATAAAAGTTCTGTAATTTATTTATCTATCAATACAATTTTAAATTTGATGTATAGTCTGAAGTTTGTAATTTTGACACAATTTGGAACAGATTTTTCCAAAAAGCAAATCTTTCCCACTAAACTGGTCATGTGACTAGAACTAAAGGGTATCCAGGGACTCCAGGGGATTAATTGTCAAAATTAATCGTTATCGGCTAAGTAACACAATTAATCATAAAGAAAAAAATTGTATAGGTCCTCTGGACGGGTTCTTCTCTAATGAAACGTTTCGTCTCTCCTCCAAGAGACTTCTTCAGTCTGAGAGTTTCAGGCAAAATTCAGGCTTTTAAGCCCTAACTTACCCCAAAATTAACTTTTTTTTAGCTGATAAACTGTCTAGAATGTGTCTAAAATGTTATAT